CACCCTACCTGCTCATGCTGGTGAAGGTCTGTGTTTATTTTCAAGACCGCTCACTGTTTCTGTACTTGATTTTATGTAAATGCCCACAAGTAGATTCAATGTCCATATCATGAATGTGACCCAGTGTTTTAGATCTGTGCTCTGAGTGAAAAAACCAGGTTCTTAAAGGTAGCAGGATGGTGTTAACAAAGCAGTGGCTTTCCGTGCTTGCTGCATGATGTGAAATTTCAGAAGACCCTGCAGCTGCAGTCAGCCCCAGGCCTCAAACCTGCCCTTGCTGAACCACATTCCAGGCGAATGAGCTCTCCGTGCTCCCCTTTCTGTAGAAATGTCAATATTTCTTTAAGGAGGAGTAACTTTTGGTTAACCGGCTGGGGCTTTGTTGAGGATTAAGAGAATGAGTTAGTATGGAGTAACTAGTTACGTTGAATTATCTAAGTCATAGTAGTGACATTGTTTGAGCTCTTGCAGGTTGGTTTGAACAGGTACTGGTGTTTGGTGGTCTTTAATGGGTGTTTGAGTTGTGAGGATCCAGGATCCGAGCTGTTTTATTAATGTTTTTCTGTTGAGGAATGGAATCTGAGAAGGAGCAGGTGGTGACAAATTTGAGGGATTACTAACACATCCAGATAAATGGCATGGGAAACGTCACCTTTGAGTACTTGACAGAGCTGTAAGCACATGAAATGACGTTAAGGTCAACCACTGTGGGAGCCTGTCTTTCCGAGGGGTGCGTGCATCTCTTCTCGTGTAGATGCTCGCACGCACGTCACAGAATGCGGTGGGTGAATGAGGTGCTTTAATGTGATTTGCGACGTCTTGCACTTTTGTTGGCCTGGTTTTAAAAATAAATTCAAGTGGGAGGAAATGGTTTAAAATAGCTGGGAACTGTGCAGAGTCTGGGACTGATCTGACTGCTGCTGTTCCTCTGGAAAGGAGTTCCCTGTGCCTTCTGCTGCTGGGGACTGTCAGCTTGTAGGGGACCCTCCAATCTGCGCAGCGCTGGTATCTGCATTTCTAAATTGTATTACTGGACACCGTAATACCTTGTTTAACCTGTTTGGGGGTGGCTTTACAACATCACCAAGGTGCAAGCTTATTTCAGAGGAAGCAAAATGATAGTCCTTTGGTTAGAAGATACCAGAAGCTCTTCAAAGTTATTTGGCTTAGCTCTGGCTGGTCTAGTTTGGTGTAGTGTAGGCACTGGCATGCAAATAAGCAAAATGACCAGAAAAACTGGGTTCTGCTCAAATAACTTGTCCAAGACTTCTTTCAATAAATTATGTAAAGCTTCATTGTTTTCTGTTAATTGCCTTGGCACTCACTTTAAATGTCGTTTCAAAGAGAGAAAATTGCATTGTGAATGTTCTGGACAACCTAATAGAATTTCTCAGAGCAGGGTATACGATAACGCAGCCTGCAGTACAGATTTACCAACCAGTTATGAAGTTGTACTGTTGTGATGGGTGTTAGACATTTTTGGGATGGTTTTAGCTGTCGTCTTTCAGTTTGACCTTCAAAAATAACATTAGGGAAATCAATCTGTTACAAACAAAAAACCAAATGTGGCAGTTTTAATTCATGCACACAAATCCCATAATAAATCCAATTAGTATTTACCAAGCCATAGCCTTAAAGTATGAGGAAATGGAGGAGCTTTGTTGCTTATCTTGTAAACCACAAAATCTGGGCTGCTTGTGGTCAGGGATGTGTTGTCATCATTAAATTACGAATTTCCAGTTCTTAAGATGCCTCTGGCTGTTGAAGTGAAGCCCACCAAGATAACGTTAACCTATAAACCAGCAACGCCTGATTGCTCACAGCATTCTCCACAACGAAGAGCGAGTGAAGTCCTGTATGGAAAATGTTTATATTCCTAACCATTACTACGGATGTAAAAAAATATCTCTATATACTTTGTATTTCTTCTACACTGGAGGACTAAAAGCTGTGGACATGAAACGATGTTTGTGCTTTAGGAAAGCTTTTCCAGGTCTGTCTGATGCAGGGGTATTGCCCCTTCCTTGAAGAGCAATTTTGACAGAAGCTGTTAACTACAGTTGCAAGTGTGTAAGTGAATTCTTTGGGGTACATCACGGACATGGAGGAGGAAACGCAGATTACACAAGCTCAGTATGAAGCAAACAGGATGTTTTTTGTCTTCTGGTATTCCAACCTAGCTGAAAGTAGCTTTTTGCTGTTTTGAGTAAGAAAAAGGACTTAATCCTATCTTTTTGGCTCCTGAAAGCTAAATGCTGTTATCAGTGTGTGTTCAGCTGCATGCAAATTCACATGAATCTCTGCTAAGTAGAAGAACTGAATTTAAGAGAAGTGATATGAGCATTGTACTTCTAGTGTAACTCTGATGCAAAATGTATTACTTTATTGTTTTAAAAATTCTCCTAGCACTTTAGGAGAATTTTCAACTGTTATTTAAAGTAACTGCCATGAATATTTAGGTTTTTAGGTGATAGTTACTAAGCTTGTATATCACTTAGAGGGATATGACTGAACTTTCGTTTTCAAATAACGATGAGCTTAAGGTGTGTGGTGAGGTAAACACAGCATAACTCTTGTTTGCAGTTAAGTCTTTGGTTGTAGTTACTTCATTTGTGCTTGGTGAACATTTTTATAGGGAAGCTTCATTGTCTCTGTAGTGAAACTGCGCTGTGTGATGCAGTTCCACTTCACAAGGCCTTTTGTAATGCAGTTATTGTACAGCATGGCAGAGAGGACAAACTGGCATTCATCTGTACGACCCTGTTCACTCTAAGGCTCTTAAAAATGCCATTTATCATTAAATCATAATTTTTATTTCTTACTGCCTTCTGTACAAGACTGTAACATGCTGGAGTTGCTCTTACAAAGCATCTCTGGAGCTTGCAAGCTGATATCTTAAGTGGCTGTGCTTGGATAGCAGCCCTGAGGATTTGTGCTCCTTGCATTTCAGCTGCAAACAGGGGTAGGTTTTGAATTAGCAGGGTTTTTTTCCTTTTTTATGTGCTGCAGGTAGATACAAGGCTATTTCAGAAGAGAGTCCCACCACGTGAGTTGTATGCAACAGTAGGATAACTCTGCAAGAGTTTAAATAAAAATTAGAGACTAAACATAAGAAGGGAAGATGCAAGAAAACATGGAGAAAATGAGGGAATTGTAGATCATGAAAGGGCTGTATCTTGTGTATATACAGATTTTCTTCTGGAAATATTGGCTGCTGTTTTGCTAGACGGATGCAATACTTGTGGACAATTGAAACCATAAATATTAAGAGGATTTCTCCTTTGACTCTGGGGCAGTGTGGTTGCTGGTGGCTGAACTGCCTGTATCTTTTTGAAGCGAAGCTGCTGCTCCTTTGCCTTCTGCAAGCAGAGCACTTGCTGACAGTTTTGCACTGGAAGTCTTCTCAAATACGTGTATGTGACTTGTAAATGTTTGGAGCTGTTGCAGCCTTGCCTAGGAGAATACAGCACAAAAGTAAGGCAACTGCTGAGCAGGAAAGTTGGGGAAGATTTAAAGGTCTGCGATGGAGAAGAGCACAGGAAAAAGGGAAGGAAGCGGTCGTCCAGCTGAGAGCAATTGCAACAGCGCTGTAACAGCAGTTGAGAGAAGCAGCTGTGTAGAGTTTTGTCCTTGTGGAGATGAGGACTTGTAAATAAGAAATTGCAGAAGGTTACATGGAAATTCAGATACTCGCCATCATGCAGGGCTTGTTACAAAATCCTGTAGAGGTGAGGAAATAGGGAGTTGCTAAGGGAAAAGTGACAAACAGAAATACCTGGCCTTGACAGACACAAGACTTAAGGCAAACGCTACGTTCATTAACGTAGATGAGTTCCAAAATGTGCTATTCTAGCTTCTCCTCCTGACTGGAGAATTGGGAGGACTGTATGTGTGAGAGACATTCAGACAGCTTTTGCTCTGGGCAGTGAGGTACAACCAGGAGGACTGATGCAGTTTGATTTCTTGCGAGAGGGGAAGAAGGAATTGGCTTCAAGTATGGCAAGTTCCTCTGCTAGGAGCAGAGAGTGCTTCTGGCTTTGTTTCTCTTAATTGGACTGGAATTGTGCAAGTTCTAATTACTCGGGAAAAACGACTGTCACAAAAGCAGTGGGATCTTCAAGGCTCGTAAAAAATTGAGACTGACAGATTGAGGTTGTTTTGAAGGGATATCGATAGCATCGCCGTGCTGTCGTTTATCTCGGTGTACTTGGCTCGTCCTTGGTACCTGAGGAACATTTGTAAGAGCGGAAACGACATTTTCTCAATTCTCCTCCTTAGATTAAAATTGGGTGAAGTAAAAATGTTTGTTATGCCATTGCCAACCGTCTGGGGAAAAAAAATCTAATTTAGTCTGTCCATAAAAAAAAGCTGGAATGCTTCATAAATCTGTGAGTTGTTTGCAGTGTGCTTGGCTTTGCTGAGAAAAAGTTTGCTGTTTCTTTACGCTCTCCCTCTACAGGGAAAAACCTCCCGTTGTCTTTTCAAGAGTTCATAGCAGTAGCCTGACAAAACTCCTCTAACGGTCACTGGATACCGATTGTGTGATGTTCAGTGAGGCCCAGCGTTTTTATGCAAGAGTGAGATTTCGAGACACAAAGTTCCCTTTCTCATTCCCAACTTTCTTAGTTGAGGATGTGGTCGGGCTGAAAAGGAGATTTTTTTTGTTTTGCCAGCTGTTTGTTTTCTTCCTTCAGTTCTCTGCTCATTGTAGCTGTACTTGCCTGAACTATAACTGGCAGTAAATAGTATATATTTTACAGTAATGTGTATGATCTATTTGTATAGAGGGGAGTGTGGCACAGTACAGCAGCTGTTCGTGTGGTAGGCAGCATTTGTCTTCAGAATGACTTTGGTATCGAAAAGGGCATTTACTTGTGAAGGCAAAAATCAGTCTTTTACCATGGGAAGAAATAGGAAAATTAATATTTGTCAAGTGTGCGTGTTTGTGCACAGAAGAAATGTGGAAGTTGCTAATTCTGTTTTCCTGTCTTGTCAAATAGATCATCTAAAGTAGCTGGGTTCCGCAAAAAGAAGACTCGGACAGCGCAGCTACTTAACCTCCAGATCAAGTTCAACGATGCATTAGAGGACGCTGGATTGGCTGTGCAGAGATTTCACACTGAAGGATGAATAGTGAAGAAGAGTTTTATGATGCCGTCACGGGTGAGTGATAGGCACAGTGCCAAGAAGAGCAAAAGAGGGTTAGGAATATATTGCTGTTAATACATGAATAAAAAAGTAAACTGCTGTTGGTAAACCTTGTCATACTATCTTCTGAAAAGAAGAAAGGAGGAATTAGAATTCAAGTTCAGACTTGGGATTGAAGGGTTTTTATTAAAGCTTAATGCTGGCTATCATTTTATCGCTCTAACAGTTCTTCAGTGGCCAAGTCTTGCTTTAATGTTCTGTAAAATGCAGGTAATCTAGCAACAGCTTGAGAAGTAATGCTTTTAAGACCCTTTGAAGGGTGAAATAGCTTCTGTGAGTTATTTTTATTGTTATTTTATTCATTTCTTTATTTTAATGGAAAACTTATCCTAAAGAACTGAAGTGGAAAATGTTTTTCTAGTCAGAAACAAATTACTGTAGAAGTATGCTTTCAAGATAAGGAGCCAAAAATCCTTGCAATCCAGTGGCGTTTCTAGAAAAGCAAACACGAATGAATCACTTCACACTTGAGCAGTGAATCAAATAGTACTTATCTGTGAACTAATAAGGATGAATGGTTACTTATAAAAGCCTTATGTGGTTTTTATTGGTGAAAGAAAATCCTTAAAGTAGTTTAATTAAAAAAAATCCTTTCAAAGATCTCAAACAGTTTTAAAGACTTCCAGTTAAATATGTATTCAGAAATCCTGTAACAGAGGTGAAATGAGAAATGCTGGTGATGGTGAGTGCTTAATGTAGAATTACAGGAATGAAAAGCGAATCGTGGGAAAGGTGAAGGCTTAAGGAATGGAAGGAGCGGGGTAGATACAGGTGGGTAGGGTGGACTTAGACATAGTTGGTGTGGAATTCGTATAAGAAGTAAACAGAAGGATTGGGTGAAGCAATCTGACTGACAGTGGACTGTATAGGACTTGTCTTGGAGGAGAGGAGGGGATTTAGATTGCATTCATGCTAGCTGGGAGCCATAGGGGCTCTAAATTCATCTGTAAAATCAAATTGCTGTACCAGCATAATCTTGAAGATGACGGGTTGTTCCTGTATGTCTTCAGTAATCTTGCAATTCCAGGAGCTCAGGACTGCAGCCGTGAATGAACTAGATTTTATTTTTTTTCCCCACTGAAAAAGGTCAACAGAAATGTGGTTATGAGGTTTGTGTCGTACAGCTTTCCTGGTGGTGCGCTCCTTTGACCCTTGCTGCAGAAATGCACAGCCCTTGGTGTTTGAGTCATCTGCGTTTGAACACTCTGGTTTTGTCCTCTTTCCTCTTTTTCACCTTAACCTCAAAAGCTTGATTCTGCCTGCAGGTGCTCAAGGGGGTAATGACCTTGGAGCTATTGTACATGAGATGTTCTTTACCTTGCAGTCTTGGCTGGCTGTGCTGGGAAGTGGGATGTTGAGCATCGCTTCTGTGAGCACTCCTTGTCCCTTCCTAATCTTTCTTAATTTTCCCACGGGAGAGAAGTTTTGAAGCAAAAGAAGATGTGGTGTCTTCACAGGCTCTCAGCACAGCCATCTTCTGATGGAGGGTGTTTGGTGTGCAGCAACCACTCCAGGAACTACATGATGTTGAATTTTTTTCCCTTATATATGTTGCCCTGGAGTGTACCCCACAGGTGCTTGGTTAAAGAGGAGTGCTAAGTGCTTGTTTCAGATCCTTTCTTTCTCCCTTGGGACTGTCTTTGAAGACAGGTGCTCAATCTTTTTCTCCAGCTCAGTGCTTCAGAAGATGCTCATGGTTTGATGGATTACTTGCACAAACCTAGTGACATCTACACCTAGTAGTTCGTAGCTGTGTCTTGTCCAAGTCATACATTAATGTGACGCTAAAAACAACTGTAAATAGGTCTTTCTGCACTCATGTTCCCCAACTGCTGATGCCTGTAGCAACTCTTTGCTCCTTTTAGCACTGTGGACTGTGTATCTTTCAGATGACGCTCTGCTGAATTTTTTAGGTTCCAATGGGTCCTGGTAGTGCCTGCCTTGTCTCTTAGTTTTTGGATGGTCTAGACATGGTGGGTGTAGATCCAGTGCTCCCAGGAGATCAGGTTCAGAATCGAGGTCCTTTCTGAGCCAAGGTGAGCTTTCAGTTTCCACAGTGAAAACTTCAGGATTTGGGGTTCCAAAATTCGATAAAGAAATGAAAAGTCCTTGGCAGTCTCCTGAGTCTGTTCTCTCCAAGGACACTCACCTCGCTCTAGGTCAGATCAGCAGATGGGCAGAAGATACCTTTAGACGTGTGTTTGTTCTCTAAGTCTGGGACTGGAATACCAGAAGGAAGCACATTTTCCAGCTGGGTCTTAGCTCCATGTTGAGATCAAAAGAACGTGTACACCATACTCTTCTCCTCTTGCTCCCTCAGAGTCCTGGGGCCTGCTTTCCCAGAGGGATCTGCAATGTGTTCCCATAAATTCACTGATTTTAGTAGTTGAGTACTGTGGTTTGTGTCCTATATGCAGCAAACCGGGGCTTAGTAGAGCACTTGAACTCTGTGGGAAGCCGTGCTCAGGATTCTGCAGCAGTCTCAGCAGCAGCCCAGGCAGTTTGCTGCCTCCTTTAAGATGCTATGAGCTCGCTCCTTGAGGACGCCACAACTTTTCCATAGTTATTAATTGGTGACGTCTACTTCTAGAACATGAATCTGTCCTAAGGAGACTCCTGGTTTTGTTGTGGTGGATTTCATCTCTTTGAGAAGTTTCCTGTTTCTGACGCTGTCCCCATCACATCCAGAGGACACGCTCGTGTGATGGAATTGTCGGCTGCGTGGCTGGGAGTCATCCTCCTGGCAGATGGTCTTACCCTGACTGGATGATGATTACACTTGGAAATGTGTGGGATGGGCTGTGTTACGTGGGTGATGAATCGAGTTAGTGGCTGGTAAAGAGCTTCCTTGGAGAGAAGTTGCTTTGCGTTTGGAGGTCATTAGTGTGGCTGATTAGTTGGCCACTTGACATCCTTACTTCATGAGTGAGTGCCCCCCTTGGGAGTCTCTTGGGAATGTTCTGGTGGCAAATGTGTGTCTTTTCATAATGTCTGGCTCAAACTGGATCAGTGGATTCTGCCACCGTGTTTAAGTATTGCAGATGTGAAAGGCCAGCCCTCCTCCTGTCGGGGCAGCGCCGTACGGCTGCGTGTTGTGAGGATGGACTTGTTTTGAAAAGCGAGTATGGGAATTTCTGACAAAGCAGAAATTACCTCTTGCTTCACTTGCTGTCTGTGCTTCCAGCGTATTTATCCCTATTTCTTATGCCCTTCTGAGGCCTGAAGTTTCGCGATACTATGCTATTTTGATTCCCTTTCTGTCTTGGGTGACGAGGCTTAATGAGTATTTAAGGAAGTTGCTGCCTGTAGAAAGGGGCGGTCGTGTGTCCTCACGTGTGACTCAGAGCAGTGTTCCTCTGCTCCCGCGTCGGTGGATCTGGAGCGTGGTCTGAGTGGACTCATTTCGTTTGCAGGATGTGGAAGAAGAAGAAGGCTAAGAAAACTAGAGTTACTGGCAAGTGTCTTTTCTTTAAGCTCTTGAACTAGATTAATGTTGGTGCCCAACTTAAATATTTGACTTTGAAAAGTTAAGACTTTTGAAAGGCTTTTGTTTCACCCTTACCACACATAAGTTGCGACTTTTAAGGTGATTTTTGACATTTTCTTTGTCTGTGGTCCCTTGTCCTCCTTTTTTTTCAATCGCCATTTTTTTCCTCGCTCCCATTGGCTCTTCACTGTAAAAACTGTCCTGCAAGGTACAGCCTCACTGATCCGTTTTGCAAGTTCAAGGCTTTGATGGCAGCTGGAGAAAGACTCTTTTTGTAACTGAGAAAAACTACAACAAATGATTTCAGTAAACTGTTTTTATTCCTGATCAGTATTTCTTCTGTGAAGAAGAACCTGGATAGTTTACAGAACTGTAATACTCTACAATTTCACTGGGAAATGGCTTTTAAAACTTTCTCAGTGGGTTTGTAATAGCCAAGCCAGCTGATACTTAAGGTTGAAAGTCTAGTAATTATCGAGCTGTGTACCCTAGTGGGGTTTGGGTTTTTTTTAAATTAAGTGGAGATACATCCTAGTAAAGCAGACTTTCCGCTTCTGATGTATCTTGTGTTTCTGGATCTTACTTAATTTGTATTTGTATGCAAGACACTTGTTTGAATGGGTATTTATTTGCCAATGTCATATTGTTGTCCATAAGTAACATACATATGTACGAATCTAAATTTACATTGTGCTGTACAGAAATAGGGCAAACCAATTCTGAATCCTGGATAAACAGAAAGATCAGTGTGGATGACAACAAGAAACATGTGGTAGGATTTGCAGGATTTCAGGTACAATGTAAAGACTGTAATTCCAGTAACGTTTTTCCTAAATATTCCCCATGAGGCAGCTGACTGTTCCTCTTACAAAGCTTTACTTTTATATTTAGGTGTGTGCATCTCATTGAAGTGCCCATTAAATGCCATGCTGTTCCTGATGTTGGATGTGCTTGATCAGCTTTCTGGTTGAGGGCACGTGTACCAGAAGGCTCCTCTGATCTTTCCAACTTCATCAGTTAAACTAATGAAAGTTGTTTTGTTCTGCCTTTTCCATCTCCTTGTACTGTGGCAGGTTCTGAAAAAAGCTAATGTGTGGTTAGAAATGCCATTTTATAAAGTTATAAATATTTTTGTTGGGGGTTGACTGAAGATAGGCACGTGTTTTTTGAAGACAGGTGTTTCAGGGTAGTCTTCATTTTAATAACCTTAATATATATACACAGACAGACACAGACACAGACAGACACAGACACAGACAGACACAGACACAGACAGACACAGACACAGACACACACAGACACACACACACAGACACAGACACACACACAGACACAGACACACACACAGACACAGACACACACACAGACACAGACACACACACAGACACAGACACACACACAGACACAGACACACACACAGACACAGACACACACACAGACACAGACACACACACAGACACAGACACACACACAGACACAGACACACACACAGACACAGACACACACACAGACACAGACAGACACACAGACACAGACAGACACAGACAGACACACACAGACACACACACACAGACACACACATATATATATATATATAAAATGACGATTGTACTTCCCAGTTGAGTACTGGCACTGCTAAGATGTGGGTATTGCTGTATAATTACCTACTTGTGACATCAACACGTAGGAGACAGTTTAACACATGAGATCACCCGTTACACCGGCTGTTTCCCAAATAAGGTCATACTGGTGGTACTTCCTTGTGCTGTTTTCGACGTTTTGTCATGGTCTTGATTACTGGAAAAAAATGCAGCTTTTTATTTCTGACTGTGTGCACCTTGCTTGAATTGCTCTGATAAAGTAAAAGCACCCTCTTGGAGATGGTGACAAAAGGAAAAGCTGAAGTGCTACTTATCACGGATGCTATTTTTAAAACAGACGATCACAACATTTTACTCTATTTGAAATTGAAATAATCTTTGTCAAAACTGATTTTTTTACTCTATTAGACTCCATGAAACATTACATTATTTGTAATGTTCTGAAATCTTTACCCACAGCTGGACTCAGGGATGGGCTGTAGCTGGGTGTGATGGGAATGGTCAGCACACAGACAAGCGGTTGCCCAGGTTGTGATAAGAGGAATGAAAGGAATACAAGTATTATATTAGTGTATTCCTTAAAACCATGGCAAGAATTGAACGCCAGCAAATACACACGTTTCATGTTGCTTTTGGATTCTGACTCTTCAACTGGTAGCTGGGAACTAAAGTCATCTTGTAGTTGTTCATGAAGAATTGGACCTTGTGGCACTCAGGAATTAATGCTCTGTGAATGATTTTCAACAGAAATGTTCCTCTAATCACAGAATCACAGACCATGAGGGATTGGAAGGGACCTCCAAAGCTCATCCAGTCCAATCCCCCTGCCGGAGCAGGAACACCCAGATGAGGTTACACAGGAAGGCGTCCAGGCGGGTTTTGAATGTCTGCAGAGAAGGAGACTCCACAACCTCTCTGGGCAGCCTGGGCCAGGGCTCTGTCACCCTCACTGAGAAGAAGTTTCTTCTCAAATTTCAGTGGAACCTCCTGTGTTCCAGCTTGTGTCCGTTACCCCTTGTCCTATCATTGTTTGTCACCGAGAAGAGCCTGGCTCCATCCTCGTGACACTCACCCTTTAGATATTTATAGACATGAATGAGGTCTCCCCTCAGTCTCCTCTTCTGCAAACTAAAGAGCCCCAGCTCCCTCAGCCGCTCCTCATAAGGGAGATGCTCCACTCCCTTGATCATCTTTGTAGCCCTACGCTGGACTCTCTCCAGCAGTTCCTGTCCTTCTTGAACTGAGGGCCCAGAACTGGACGCAATATTCCAGATGCGGTCTCACCAGGGCAGAGCAGAGGGGGAGGAGAACCTCTCTGCCCTACAACCACCCCCCTCCTGATACACTCCAGGATGCCATTGGCCTTCTTGGCCACAAGAGCACAGTGCTGGCTCATGGTCATCCTGCTGTCCACCAGGACCCCCAGGTACTTTCTGTGGCGGTACTGTGACAGTTGTGAATTGTATTGATGCATCATTTTGGTGTTGTGTTGATGATCCTTAGTTGCTGTTAACAAGTGCTTCGTTTCTGCGGTCGTGTGGCAGCACTGACAAGGGGCCTGTTCCTGTTGATAGCGACCAAATGTGTGTGTGTGTATATGCATAAGATGTTTTTTACAATTTTCTTATATAAAGACATAAGCAAAAATAAATTGGCATTATTCTAAGTGTATGTGGGAAGTAGTGTGACTTAAATTAAGTCATTTGACTAAAATCTTGGATTCTTGGTTTAGTCCAACTTGTGCTGAAGACTGCTTGATTACAGAAGCTCCTGTTCCTGCACATTCCTCGTTTCACTTTTTTATGGTTAAAGCTGTTCAAAGCGTGTTGTTATTGGGGCTGCTGGTTTTAGTGGTGTTTCCAGTAGCTGCCTACCCAAGTGGATGGAATTGGGCATAGGAAATGGAGCTACTTACTGCAGGTCGTGCTTTGAGCTCAGGGAATGATTCAATTTGGTGTCCCCAGGTTCTTGCTGCAACCATTAGGGAAGCGTCACGGTGTGCACACTTGGATGGCAAAAAGAAGTTAGATAGCCTACATTTCTGTTGCTGTAGGAGTCTGGATGTTTGCTGCTGGATGTTTTTTCTCCTTGCCTGTTAGCAGTATAAGTAGGCTAAGTTAAATTTTCTGAGGGCTTTGAGGAAAACTACGTAACTGAACAAAATAACTGTAATCACACCGCAGCCCTGAAGAGCAGACAGTGCAGCTAATCTGATCAGCTGTAAGACTCTAAATTGGTTTTCTGTTCAGCAGTGTGAAACATTTGAGAATGCTTGACTGTCATGCAATACTTGGTGATAAATACTCTTGGAAATCAGGTCACTTAATAAAGGATTTTTACTCTCTTCTTTAAAATAAAATAATCTGGTATAAATGTACGTCTGCTGTGAGAGTTACAAAATATGCGTGGCACTCTGTGGCATAATAAGGTTCTTGAGAAAATTGTTGTTGCCTTCTGGTTTTTACACAGGCTTTGATTCCGACAATTCTTCAGGAGACTTTTCAGAAGCAAATCATAAGGTTACAGAAATGCTTGATCTAGATCCGCACCAAAGCAATAGGACTGGAAAGCATAACGGAGAGACAGAGATTCAGGAAAATGGGATTAAGAGACACAGGTAAACACGTAGCACCACACAGTAAATGAGGAGTGAGTATGTGCTGGTCCGTTACCTTTTGGGGCATTACTGCTCTCATTGGATGAGGTGATTTCCCTGGAACCAAAAAGACATTTCCCCGGTCTGCTTCCAGTGTCAACTCTAGGTTAATGTTTTGCTTCCTTTATAAATACTTCAATACCTACAAATGAAAATGTCATCTTGTTTAAGTGGTTAATAATGACAGTTGGTTTTTTCCAATTACAGGACATCATTACCTGCCCCAATGTTTTCTAGAAGTGATTTTAGCGTGTGGAGCATATTAAAAAAATGCATTGGACTGGTAAGTTAGCTTGGATGAAGTAGGCTACTCTAAGTCTCCTGACTTGAACTGGTTAATTTTATTCCATAGAACTGATGACAAAGGATAAAACCTGGTGCATTTTGCGTATTTTTCTATAGGAAACATCATCTTAAACTGCTGCTCTCTACATCTCAACATTCATTTACAACCATTACTATTTCCTTAATTACTTCAGCTGTTGCTAAAGCAAGTAAGGAAGCACTTAAACGATGCTTTAGTGCTCAGGCATGAGTGCAAATTTTAATTAAACAGCCAAATTTGCTTGGGTATAGTAGAAGACTTGGGGAATTGGAGATCTCTGTGAGAACTTTGTGTCTGTCTTATATCCACATGCGAAATGAAAAACATTCAGTTGGAAATAAAGCCACTAAAACTTGCTTGAGCAATCCAAATCCTGTTCTTTATGTAACTGTTCCTTTGGAGAAATAATTTGTGGTTACTTCAGTAAAATAATTAGATTTTATGCAAATAGGCATGTGAGGATTTCAAAGGAGTGCGTGGTACTTTAAATATCAGTAGTGAGCTGGGTGCTTCTATTATTATTATTATTATTGCTTCTACTTACGGAAATTTTAACCTCTTCTGTTTTATGTAGGCCATGGACTGGAAGGTAACATTTCTATTGAATTTACTAGGTTAGCTGGATCAATTTTTGAAGTTGTTTACTCTTTCAGATTGCTGGTAGGGTTCTGCAGCACTTCTGGCCCCTTTCAGCCATGGCACTTAGAGGTCTGCTATAGGCTTGCCAAACGTCTTTTGAAGAAGGCTATAAACAAACTAACCCATAACTGATTTTAAAAATTATTCTTCTTGTCAGTTATTACCTTAGTGCTGTGTCCAACAAATTAACTTATCCCTTTGTTTTTATTAGGAGCTGTCTAAGATTACGATGCCTATTGTCTTCAACGAGCCATTGAGTTTTCTTCAGCGGATAACAGAATATATGGAACACATATACCTCATTAATAAGGCTTGTAGTAATGCAGACCCCCTGGAGAGAATGCAGGTAAGTAACAGCTACCACCTTCTGGTTAGCTCAGAAGAAGTTTTTCTCTCCCAAAATCTTTCATTTTAAGACAGTTTCTCACTTGAGTGTATTTCTTTCTCTGGGGCTATCTTAAGAATACCCATATTTGTCTCTCTAGACAAACTCCTTGTTTTACAGTGGCTGTGTCAGATATTTGTGACACTTTCACACTTGATGCCGGGCACAGAGTTTGAGCCAAAAGTGTGGGGCAGGAGAGAGCCACAGCTGACGATGCCCAAGGACCTCAACCCTTTTCAGGGCTACTTTGTGACTCTCTTTGTGGTTTTGTGTGTTGTGAAGATGAGCTCTTGGCTTTAAGTCACCCTAAACTGATTTGTCAAGTGGCTCCATGATTACAAAGTTACTGCATGAAAAATTGTTGTCAGAGACAAGCTTCACCACTCTTCTTGTCCAAAACTGCTGAGAGTAGAATATAGTACCTGAGTGGTACTAAAAGCAGGCTGTCTTCTTGGAGGTAGGTGGAAAAGCATGGAGCAGAGCGTAACCTGACAAAATTTATTACAGAAAAGAGTAGCTTTCAAAATGAGATTTTTATTAATTGTATTGCCCCACTTCCATATCACTTATACTGTTACTTACAAATATTCTGGCCTTAAGCAACGTATAGCGCTTTCTTTTTGGAAGAATAAGGAAATGCTGTAATGCGCAACAAATACAATATATTAAACCTAGTTTTAATGCACTGTTCTCATAACAACGTGTGCTTAATTTGCTTATAGGCTGTAGCTGCTTTTGCAGTTTCTGCTGTAGCTTCTCAGTGGGAGAGAACTGGCAAACCATTTAACCCGCTGTTAGGAGAAACCTATGAATTAACCAGGTAATAATTACTTCAAACTGGGAGCTGGGGCTATTTGTGTTCTTGAGTTAGCAGACTCTTGTGCTACTGCAGTTGTTTATTCAGTTAAATAAATAATAATAAAAAATCTACTAAAATATATTTATGAGGATACCTAAAACTATTTTACCCAAACTATCTCAAAATCTTTGAGAAGTTGCTATAAAAGTCAATTATTTAAGTATTCAGAGGAAAAATGGTCTGTGTTCTTCCACCAAAGACGCTTCCTGACCAGAGACTATTAATAAATTTAAACAGTGTTTTGCAGATCATGTCAGACAGAGGAGTTAGTTTGAAGGACTTCCAGCTTGCTTAAATAAATAGGTAATATATCTGCAGTGGAGAAAAGACTTTTCAGCCAGACTTGCTGCTGCTGCCCAAAGAGTTCAGTATTTTCAAGAGTTATTTCAGTGAAACTTCTTCAAATGCCTTTCCGGGTAGGAAGTCATTTAAGTGTTTGATTGCTGGTTGATTTTGGGTGTGAAGAGAAGGTGTTCAGAGTAAAGTTTCTTTCATTTCATTAATTGTAAATGTGTCATGAGACTATAAAAGGAAAAGTCTCATCCTCAATCTAAAAATTTCTTCAGACTTTTTTGAAGTATCAAGTAACTCTTTTCTCTTGTAACATTTAAAAAAATACTGTTTAATGCTCATTTTTTTTGTTGTTGCTAGGGAGGATTTAGGATTTAGGTTTATATCTGAGCAAGTCAGCCACCACCCACCTATTAGTGCATTTTATTCTGAAGGCCTCAATAAGGACTTTATTTTCCATGGATCAATCTATCCCAAACTAAAATTCTGGGGAAAGAGCATAGAAGCGGAGCCTCGGGGAACAATTACCTTGGAGCTTCTGAAGTGAGTATGAGAAGCAAATACCCTTTATTTCCATGTTGATCTCCTTAACATCTATGTAAATAAAAAGATAAGTGATAATCACCCTATTGGCTCTCCATAGGTGATTCTCTAAACACCTCTTGCTGAAGAGTTGTAGGAGTTTAAGATTGCCTTGTCACCTATCAAACGCTTCCTGTGCGTGATCACTTTCCTATCAAAATCCAGAAAGCCTCTCCAGTTACTCCTGGGCTTGTCTCTGGCTGCGTACATGTTTCATAAATGACGTGACTTTCCGTATGTTGGTTTGTGCCCTGGTGGCGTAGAGACTCTTGAGCTTTCTCAAGCAGGGCATGAGGATGCGCCAGGTAATGGTGGCAGAAAAAGCATTCTGTAATTGTACGCTTCAAAGACGCTTTTTTATAAAAGCTTTCCTGAAGCCAAACTGAGGCTGTTTTTGAAATACTTGCTTACGAAACTTCTAGACATTTGGTTTCAATAAGAGTCAACTTTTCCTGCCATATCGAGCATCGACTTTTCCTGTAGTTTCTTTTGAAAGCCGAGTTTATTTGTCGAGCTGCTGGCATCTAATCTTCCAAAGCTTAGGAAAATATGAACTGGTCCTGGATGTAAATGTTGATGGAAATAGAGGAAATTTCTTCTGAATGTGGAAGGGACGATGAATGTTAGTGTAGAATGCAGACGTGACAAAAACCAAGTTTGTTGCTTGAGAGAGAGCCTTTTTTTCGAAGACTATTAACATTCTTGCTCTGATCAAATCACAGGGCACAGGTTCAAATGGGAGTACAAACGGTTAAGGCATTTATTTTAAAGAACTCTTTCAAGTTAGCAGCAGAAGTTGAAATCAAATTTTGAGCCTCTGATTGTTGTGATTTGTGCCGTTCTGTTGCTTTGAGCAGTGTGAAAACTGCTCAGGGCCTGAGCGAACAAGGAAGTGTTTAGGAAGCAAAATTGCAAGTCAGTGTTAAATACTGCAGTTCTGGTAACCAGGACTGCGCTTTCAAAGCGTGCATTAGAAAATGCACTTCTTCTTTACTTCTGCAGCATAAATAAGTGTTTCCACTTATCAGTGCTGGCCATGAGTGTCTTGTGTTTGGCTTTAAGCTACACAGCTTTTGTCAAGTACTTTTTGAAGAAAAATGTGTGCTGGTGGGGTTTGGGGGGTTCTGGTATTTTTCCCCCACTTGCAGAGCACTCATTGTTCTCATGTCTGCTTCAAGACAATTTGCTGTGGACAATAGTCAGAATTCAATGATCTGTTTTTTCTCTGTACTGGGAAGTGACGGACTGGTTGGAAACATTAAATAGGAGTGTTCACTTGCTGGGAGTAGAAGTACAAGCCATTTGTTAGGGAGGACGCTGCTTGCTTTTGTATCTTTGGACTAAAATAGAGTTTGCAAGCTTTCCTAAGATGGACTGATTGCCAGCCAGGTACATTCAGTGTTTCATCAGCATGGAAAGATGAGTGAGAATAGATGGCTTTGACTGTGCCAAGCTTAGTGATACGAGGAATCCTGTTGTTTAACCTTTTGACTGCTTTTAGAATAGTGTCTCTTAAGGATTTGGGATCTGTTAACTCGTCTTTGTAAAGTTTTTTCACAAAACATTAAAAACAAGTGAGTAATAACTGGGATTTTGAAATGTCATGTTCATGAGGCCTGAATATAGTGCTACCGTGTCCCAGTGATGTTAAACAATCAACCAAAAACCCCCAAACCACACACCCTCACGCAAAATTGCCTCCAGTGACACTGGAGCAGGCCTCAAACACCAATGTGGAAACTTGTGGCGTATCTGTGGAAACCACTTCTGCAGTTTGCTGCCTGGTGTCACTCTTCAGCTTCAAAAGCCTTTACCACCCAGTGTTTGTAAAATGAAAAATTGCTTCAAGTGGGTTAGTCTTAAAATTTAAATGTGAGTAGGGCGAAAAATAAAGGGAATATCACTTTATTAACTTGCAGTAATGTTTAGATACAACACATCGTCGGCTTTTTAAAGCAAAGACTGTTTCTTTTCTGTGTTGAAGTTAACTGCTGGCCGTTCACAGGAGTTGTTAAATATTTTGCCCTGCCATGAATAGAATTGAAAGCAGGCTTATGTTCCATCTCAAACCCGAGACATCCATTTGTTTCTGTTTTCTTTACAGACATAATGAAGCTTACACGTGGACAAATCCAACCTGTTGTGTACATAATGTAATTATTGGTAAACTGTGGTTAGAACAATACGGAACAGTAGAAATTGTAAATCACAGGTAATGCTGATCGGGAAACTGAGGGTTGGCTTATAGAGACTGGTGCAAGATCGACTTACTGATGTATTTAGGGGCTTGCTTCCTAAAGCATGTACTTATTTCTTCTACAGTACTGGAGATAAGTGTGTCCTTAATTTTAAACCGTGTGGACTGTTTGGGAAAGAGCTTCACAGAGTGGAGGGATACATTCAGGACAAGAAGTAAGTGATGAAAACCTCTTGGCCTCTCCGTTTCTGAGCACTGTGGCATTTCTTTAGTCCTGGCATGGTGACCACAATCGATGTGACTGCGAAGTTACTAGCAATGCAGATTGTAACCCATTTCTCTTCTCTGTGGCAGTATTAAACCCTGGATCCTAGGTTGGTAATTTTAAGCATTATTAGATAAACTCTGCAGTCTTCTGAAATAAAGGTATCCAGGGAAAATGTGGAATAGTCACAACTGATTTCACTGTTAGACAGTCACAGTTCCAGTCTTCAGTTTAAAGTAGTGAGACTATGTTTATATAGAAATTTTTAATCAATTCCAAACCTGTTTCATGACTCTGAGTCTCTGTATCGTAAACTATCGGCTTTATTGCACCCACACTCATTTTAACAGTGGCAAAAGCATGCGACTAAGTCATGAGGGTGTGTTCTGCAGGACTGAATGCCAGAAGGACTGGGATAAGCTGAAACCTTCTCTTTGCATTATCAAATACCTGTCTTCTAAGAAATCCGCAAAGAAACATAAAATACAACAAAGCAGGAAGCTGGGTATTTAGTGTAGATCAGAATCTGCCTGAGTTGGCTTAGAAGGCTTTATAAGAAGCAAAAGCTCAGGCTCCTTTGCTTTCTCTGCAGCAGAAAGAAGCTGTGTGTGATCTATGGCAAGTGGACAGAATGCTTATGGTGCACTGACCCCACTACATACGAGACTTACAAAAAGAATGAAAAGAGAGGTGGAGAGCAGAAGAAACTGAAGCCGGTAAGGGTAAGGGTTCACTAGGGAGAAAAGATACTGAAATCTGAGAAATGAAAGGAAAACACCTTCTTTATGGAAGTTGTCGAGTGGTGGTGTGTGTGGAGGGCTAAAACCGTCCTTTGGTTGGGGTTGGATGTGGGCAGTGTTAATCTCATGAGAAGGCAATGCACTTTGGACTTGTATTGACTTCAGTGTGATCTGCTGGTATTGAAGGGAGCTCAGAGAAATGGTGTTTGCCAGAGATTTATCAAAGAGAAATTATCAAATATCAACCCCTAAACTCATGATGTCCAGTCCTTGAATGAGGAAAGTGGCTCTGTTACCAACTCCTGATGTAAAAATACTAGGAAGTTACATGTGGTTTAAGTCAGTTGTGCTTTTTGGTGATGCAGCCTGTCAGAATTTATGATGTAGACAACAAAGGGGTCTGGAAACATGCAGGACTTTTTCCTCATGTGGGAGCAGTGTCAGGTAAGTTACTACCAAAGTCTCAGTGTTACGTGGAAAGTGCAACATGGTGCAGCAGAGGCTTTTGGGCTTCCTGATATCAAGAGGGGTTTGCAGACCCTCATTGAAAATGAAAATGTTAAGTTAAACAAAAGCTAATCACTCTTACCATTAAGAGGTTCAAACTATTTAAAAAAAAAGTATTAACATCAGAAGAATCTAGAGCAACAACAGGCTTTGCTTTTGGCTCTGGATTCCGTCATGGTGCGCACTTATATTTTTAATCTTTTTTTAAATAATAAGATTCTGTTAATCTTACGAAAATCAACTCTTTCTTTCCTTCCTTCCTGTTGAATCTATTTTTAGATGGGGAACTGTCTAACAGTAAACCAGATGCTGACATGGAAAGTAGACTAAAAGAGTCCTTTTATATAGTGAATATGCAAACCAAATGATTGCAATTAGACTCTTAACCATATGGAGCTGTTTTCTAGTGAATAAAACAGGCCCTGTTTAACATAGTAGGGTATTTTTGAATAAAATAAATGAGCCATGTCGGAGGGGACAGAAAGAAAATACAAAGGGGGTGGGAGCAAGGGGAGGGAGGAAAACTGTGATACTGCCATCCTAGGATGTTACTGCCTCAAACTTCCCTTCTGGTTGGTGTGGTTTTAAATGGTTTTTCACAGTAAATCCTCTGAAATTCCACCATGTGGCTGTGTGTGTCCTGTGACAGTCAGGTCCTCGCAGATTCTGAAAGCAGCCTCTTGAAGAAGACTGCATTTGATTTTTATATATGCATTATAGCAGTGCATCTGATAGCACAGGAACTTGGAAGGAAAGGCAGTTATTTATAAGCTTTAAGTACGCAGTCTTCATGATAACAGAAATTGGCAGTGATAATAATTGGAATCTAGACCGTAGGAAATCAGACTGAAACAAGGACATACCCGTTTTTTTAATCACACATCCAAATCTTTCACAAATGATGAAGCAGTATCCGAAAGCAAGCGTGCCCTGTTTATTTTGCTTAGGCCGTTACGGGGACTAGTTTAAATGGCAGTCTTGGCTCATTTCGATCTGAAGAAGCGGTAGTCAGGTTAGGTGAAGGAAAGGGCTAGAGAAAAGACTTCTGAATGACATTAATTTACTATTATTATTATTATTTTTAAACAGATATTCGACCTTTACAAAGGTGGTGGGAGCCTATTCAGAGATACCAGGAGCACAACATTATGATAATGCATCCGGGCAGGAACAACCCCATGTTCCAGTATAAA